CTTCACATAAAAAAAGAGGACCAGCATAAATATTCAGCAAATACTAAAACAATAGCAATAAAGGAAGTGAGAACATGACTCATAAACAAAATGAACTCAGCATAGAAAATTATATGGAACAAAGAAATTGACACCATGAGAAAGCACATAACAAAAATGACAGTAACAAATTCATAATTGCCAATAATTACGTAACTGGCAAAGGACTTATCTCTAAGATTTATAGCGGAAGAGTGGATGACCAAACTATGGTACACACACATAACGGAATGCTATATAGCACTAAAGAATAATGTAGAGTCTGCAGAACACTGCATACTATGGATGAACTTGGAGGACATTATGCTGAGTGACATAAGTCAATCACAGAAGGACAAATATAGTATTAGTTCATTGTTGTGGAGGGTCAAGGAAAGACTTACACATGGAGGGAAACATTCTTTGTTGGTTGCCAGGGGTGGGAGGGGAGAGGAGGGAACACTGCAAAAAAAAAAAAAAAAATGCATTGACCCATATCACTTTAGTTTTGTGTATTTCACTGTACATAAATTATATTTCAATAAAATGCATAAAAAAAAAGTTTTGCTTGCTGCCTGTGAAGACAGGTCCAAAACAATTCTCAGAACAAATGCATGTCAAAACAAAATCTTCCCTGCAATCATGCAAGGAGGGTCCCATGATCATTTGGAGATCAGATGTACCCCATTTAATGATTACTTTGTAACTTTGTAACTTTTAAAAATAATTTTAGAAACATGCTGAAAAAGAAATAAGGAAATCAACACCATTTACAATAGCTACCAAAAAAATAAAATACTTGGGAATAAATTTTACAAGGGACACAAAATATCTGTACAAAGAAAACTATAAAAGCCTACTTTCAGAAACCATAAGAAATCTATATAAATGGAAGAATAAACCATGTTCATGGATAGGAAGATTGAACGCTGTGAAAATGTCAATTCTACCCAAAGCAGTCTATACATTCAATGCAATCCCAATCCAGATCCCATCAACATTCTTTGTTTGTTGTTGTTATGTGGCACGGAGTCGGACCTGAGTCATAGAGAACCCTCCTTTGGTTTCTGATGCGGTATCACTATGGAAGTAGATTGCCCAACCTTCCTTCCAAGAAGTGGCTGGTGGGTTTGAACCACCAGCCTTCTGGTTAGCAGTTAAGTGCCTTAGGCACTATGCTACCAGAACTCCTTCAACATCCTTTAAGAATATGGAAAAACCAATCACTAACTTTATATGGAAAGGAGAGAAACCTCAGATAAGGAAAGCACTACTGAAAAAGAAGAACAAAGTAGGAGGTCTTACATTCCTGGATCTCAAAATCTACCATACACCTCCAATAGTCAAAACAGCCTGGTATTTGGTACAACAACAGACACATAGACTAGTGAAATAGAACTGAGAACCCAGAAATAGATCCATTGACCTTGGTCAGCTGATCTTTCACAAAGGGCTGAAATCTGTTAAATGGGGAAAGGAATGTTTGTTAATAAATGGTGGTGGCAAAATTGGAGATCCATTTGCAGAAAAATGAAGTAAGATCTGTACCTCACACCATACACAAAAACTAATTCCAGATGGATCAAAGACTTAAATGTGAAACCTAAAACTATATGGTTCCTCAAGGAAAAGCTAGGCGCAAAGTTATGGGCCCTAATATATGGCATAAATAGACTATCAAGCATAACCCAAAATGCACGAACAACAGAAGAGAAACTAGATGAATGGGACCTTCTAAAAATTAAATTTTCATGTGCTTCCAAAGACTTCTCCAAAAAAGTCAAAAGAGAACCTACAGATTGGGAAAAATATTTGGCAGTGACATATCTGACAAGGGACCTATCTCTAGAATTTATAGAAAATTCCAACACC